GTAAAGAAGATTCTAACATTTCCTTGTTATGTGCAAAGACTGTTTGGCTACTCTTGGTTTACTCATAAAAGTGTTCAAGGTGAGTAAGTGACTGTGTGCTCTGTTGGAAATCCTGGTGTTTGGAACATTTCACAGTCAGCCCAGTGATAACATCATAGTGACCACACAGCTGGAACTTCTCTCCTGTGAGTCTAATGACTTTTTCTCTTAATACCCCACCTCCTTTGGTTCCGCCTTTCCAGACAGCACAACACACTGTGTGCTGATTTATTCCACCATGCAGGCTGCTCCTGCCTTTTCTTTGTCCGGAATATATGAAGGTCACAGAGAAAAACAGCGTTTCTCATGTCCTTATACACTGTTACAGAAGCCAGCACTTCTCCCAGCTTGAGGTTATTATTTGGTGATTTGAGCCCTGCTTGGTCTGAACAGCTTGATTTATATCCTGCCTTCCCTTAGATTAAAAATACTGCTGCTTGTAGATTTCAATGTGTGCTTTCATCGAGGTTTTAAGTTTTATTTGCTTTTTGACATTGCTTCTCCTGTGACTTTACAGAGATGCAATTTCAGCGAGTTTCTTTATCATATTAAATAGATACCATCTCCACCTTAAACACAACTCTAGTCCTTCTTCAACTGGCTTTCTTTTGTCCTTTTTTTTTTTAAAAAAGAAACCTGGAAGTACAGGATGGAAGAATAAACTATTGTTAACCTCAGACTCCTTTGAATGCTTGAACATCTGTAGCCCCACTGAACATGCCCTGCAACATCGAGTTCATTTTCTTGCTAAGAAACACATTCCATTTTCAGGGCCTCTTTCTGCTAAAATGTCTGTGTTTTTATTGAAATGGAAACTGTTCCTTTCAACTGTGTCTTCAGTACCTTTCCATCAATATTAAATTTCTAAATGCTCTCCCTCAGGACACACTTTAAGAAAGTTTTATTTTTTTTCTTGCTGCTACCATCCCAATTGCTTAGTCACTTCCACTGTGGGACTTGGGGGTGACTGCTCAGTGGTGATAACCCCCTCCAGATTATATACTGCAGTTCTGTTAACCATCCTAACACACAGGACCAGCATATGTCCAATCAACAGTAATAATTTCACTTCTAAACTTTAACTAATATCTTGAATTAGTTTAACCTAAGACTGGAAACCAGTGCTTGTAGAAGCCATACTGTGCTGTAATTCTTCCAATTAAAAAAAATCCCTAAAGCCAGATTATATAACTCTAATTTTGGAGACCCTAGGTAGGATTGTATACCTAAATTACAGAAGTTGTGTAGAACTGCTTTGATTACATTTTGCCTTATTAGGTTTGACCTAATGTTTCTCAGAGAACCCTGATAAGCATTGATCCAGACCAGTAAAGCAAGACTGAGATGTTATACAAACAAACAAACAAACAAAAGACCAGGCAATATGGACAAACCTCTATACTTGTTGACAGAAAATATGATGGAGAAATGAAAGAGGAATAATATTATTTCCCAACATTAGACTAAGTGTATATGTGTGCATGTGGCAAAGCATAAGGGAATCAAGTGTGAGACAATATTCTAATTAAATGTGCACTAAGTTTACTGTGTAAACCTAGCCAAAAATAAATGCATAGCTAATAATAAACACTGGTGAATCAGAAGCAACATTATTAAATATAGAATCAAACTATTGAGTTTCAGAGTTCGCAGGGAAGCCAGGTTATATGTTGTGCACTTACTTAATAACAAGAAACTAACGCAGGCAGCAGCCTCACTACAAGGAAAGAAAGCAATGCAGATAGTCTATTTGGGTCAGAGGCAGGACAGGGAGGGCTCAAGTCCAATTACTACTGTGGGAAAAAATGGAAACTTTATTTTTAAAATCTTCTTTAGCCTCTTGCCACAGAATACTCCAGACATTATTCCAGTGGCATAGAAGGAAAAAAACTTCCTGATCTCATGGAGGAGAGAAACAACGCAAAGTTTAAATGCTTCCCTGATACTGATGTAAGAAGGTGAGGGAAAAGATGGTAATGGGAGAAAAGAAAGGCTCAATGGATGTGGTACTCAGCTTTTAAACGTGATCTAGCAAGAGTCTGGTGAAATGCTTCTGTGCTTACTAAGAAAGATGGTGGAACTAGTTAAGGAAAGTGGGTAAGAATACATCATTTAAAACAGAAAGCTTAGCCAGTGAAAAGGCAGAAATGCCCACTCCTAGTGACCAAGGGAACTGCAATTACCTATCCTACATGGTGAGGATGAAGCAAATTATTAAGGCAGTGGAGTTGGAAATAATGATGGCCTCAGTTGAAGGCTCTTGGTGTTTTGAAATAAAATGGTGTCATTCACCTTCGAGAGGAGTGAGAAGCCATTGATGAGTGCTGCCAGAAACTAACACTGGAAGGGGATTTCTGGATATTCTACTGAGCACAAGCTGTATAGGAGGGCATGAGAGTTGAATTAGGAAGAAAAATGAGAATGCACTTAGAATAATAGTGTTACAAAATCGAATAGTAGCCACAATATTGGTGAGATGTTCTCAAAATTCTGAAAACATTTGGAAGGTTGACCTTCCCATTAATATGTTAAATGAGAAAGTTGTAAACGAATAGAATACATTTTATGTCCTTAATGTTCAAACCTATACAAAGTAAAAATAAATCAGTATCAAAATAGTAATAGCACAAAGCAAAACATCCAAACAGAGCTAAGAATTCAAATTTATTTTAATAATATCAAGAAAATAAATCTTAGATGAATCTGAAACCACCTGAAATTTCTCTAAGTTTGTTCTATATATTATATGTTATATGATCTGTGTTGTACTAGAGGTATAATTATATGACAATTAAACCAATCCATTCCAGAACTCTCTGGAAAGAGAAAGAATAAATTATCGTAATTTTTAAGGATCATTATTTCAGAACTTTGCCTTCTTTGAAAAGTACAAAGTTAAGACTATAAAGCACAGTTCTTATTCTCTGGGCTTTGAGGAAAAGGTCTCTATCTTTAGTCCTGGCTGTTCTGAAACTCATTATGTACTATGTAGCCCCCACTGGCCTGGAACTCCTGGAAACCTTCCTAACTCAGCTTTGATTTACACACATGCATATGCACCACTAGCACCTGACTAGTCAACATCCTTTTTTTATGACAGTAAAATTTTTCTTATTTGTTAAAGTCTGGGATGGCATATCTTACAGAGAAAGTTTAGTTATATGGTGAATAAACATACTACTAACAAAGCTGTGACAGTGACGATTGATTGTAAATTTGGTAGGCTCTAGAACCATCTTGGATAGAAAGCTCTGGCCATGTCTGAGAGAGTTTCTAGAGTACATTCATTGAAGTCATAAGATTTTACATATGGTAACATGCTGTGGGACGGTCTGTATGTCAAATTGCTCTGATTGGTCAATAAATAAAACACTGGTTGGCCAGTGGCCAGGCAGGAAGTAGGTGGGACAAGGAGAGAGGAGAATTCTGGGAAGC